ATGGGAGGGCTGGGTTGTTGACCTTGCATGTGAACTCCTTGCCATTCAGCCAGTCCTGGTGCAGGATGGGAAGGGCACTGACCACACGGTAGGTGCTGTTGAACTGCTGCTCCCTCGGGTGTGTCTTGGCTGTGTGCACCTCCTGGTCATCCACGAACCAGCTGAACTGGACATCGGAGTCCTCTGGGCCCACATCCACCACCATGCAGGTGACCTCGGGATTTCGGGCGATCATGAGGACGTCCTTGGGTTTCGGGGGGAAGATGAAGACAGAGGGTCCTCCCAGGATATCAGAAACTGGTTCAGGAGATAGATTACATGGTGGGTCAGCACCTGGCACTCATTGCCCCACAGGCATGTCTGAGTTGGACCACCTCCTAGGGGTGGAGGGAAGGCCTGGCCGACTCACCTGGGCATTTGGAACAATCGCATAGCTCCGGTTTTTGTGTTTTGGGAACTGTGGAGAGAGCAGACTGGGGGTTACTGGAGCCGGCAGGGTGCAGACCTTGGGGAGAGCTTAGGTCAGGGCCAGGTTAAGGCAGGTCTGAGGCAGCACGAGGCAGAAAGCCCAGGGCACCCGTCCCCAGGCTGGGAGCCTTTGTTGGGCTTCCCATGCCTGTCTGCAATGGGCAGGCTCTCACCGGTCTTGTCCACCTTGGTGCTGCTGGCCGGGTGGTTTACGTTGCAGGTGAAGCTCTCACTGGACCACCTGCTGGAGGGCACGGTCACCATGCTGCTGGTGGAGTAGAGCCCCGAGGACTGCAGGATGGATGGGAAGGTGTGCACTTCGTTGGACAGGGCGCCCGAGTTCCACGACACAGTCACCGGCTCAGGGAAGTAGCCGGACACCAGGCAGGCCACGGACACGGTGGAGCCGGATGTGCCCCCGCAGGTGGGGGCCAGTGGGAAGACCGAGGGGGCTTTGGTGGAGGCTGTAAGAGACGAGGCTGTGTGACCACCCGCGTTTGCTTACTTTGGGTGCCCGGCCTGACTGAGCCCTGATGCTTGCACCCAGCTCCCAGCCAGCCTCCTGTGTCCTGCAGCCCCCAGCCCTGTCAGTGCCCTGGACCAGCCGGCCCCTTCTTTGGTGGGAGGCCTGTGTCACCCACTGCCCG